GCTGCACCTAGGGATTGGGCCTGCCCTTTGCCACCCGGGAGCAGGCCTAAGCCAGCAGGTCGTTATCTCCTGAGGGGCCCCAGACTGCGAGAGGGCACAGGCCGGGGCTGAGGGACCCCCCCTTCCCCCCCGGAGGGCACAAATTTTTTGCCACCCGGGCCTCTAGGGTTTGTATAAACATTTTTATTTTAAAAATGGGGTTTCTTGTATATAACATATAGGGCGGTTTTGCTTTTTGGGCATTCTGACCTCTGCCTTTTAACTGCATTGTTTTAAATATGTATATGTACTGTGATTATTGATATCACTGAGTTTAAATCTTTCATCTTGGTATTTGTTTTTTTATTTCCTCATCTATTCATATACCTTCTGTTTTTCTTTTCCTGCCTTGTCTTGGATTATCTTTTAATAATTCCATTTTGTCCCCTTTACTGACTTGTTTGCTGTACTCTGGAAGCATTAACGTTTTCTTTATATTTGATATGCTTAAATTTCTCTATATTGTGTCTAGGTGTGGGGTTTCCTTCTCTTCACTCTTTGGGAAATCTATGCTCATTCAATATCTCTGTTTTTTTTTCCTTTTAACTATGACCTCTTTACCTTTTTCTTTCTTTCTTGTTTTTCTATTATGTGAGTACTGAAAATCTAAGTACTGTACATCTCTTAGGTTTTCTTTCATATTTAATTGTTTTGTTGTCTTTTCCCACTTCATATTGGGAGATTTCCTCATTCTGATCTTTCAGTTTGATCCCTTTTTCTTTATATCCATTTTATAGTTATCCCATCTATTGCATTGTGTTTTATTTTTCCTAATTATTACTTAATACTTGTTTTTAAAAATGTTTTCTTATTTCACATTGCTAATATCTTTTCTTATCACCTTTAATATATTAATTGGCTAATTCAAAAGTCCTTGGTTCTCTGTTCTGTTTATGTTGGGATCTGTAATTGAGATATGTTGTTTCTTTGTGAAATAAATACCTTGTTATTTTGAGCAATGAGCTTATTTTCTCCTGGGGATACTGGCTAACCTGTCAGGCAGACCCTTAGAGGGAAACACCAGACTCCAAATTACTCAGCTCCGATGACATCAGGAGTCAGTATATTGTCTCTTGGGTAGAGAGCCCCAAGCACCAGAAAACTAGTAGCTGCCTCTTCACGCCTCAAAACAACTCCACCCTTCAGGTCTTCAACTGTTACCTAGAGGGGGACACCCATTAGAAAGCAATGCTGTACTCATTAGAGTATATTCCATGACTCCAGAATTTGGAATGGGAGGGTAAAGGCTGCATCTCTTCCTAAATCAAATAGGAATAATCAGATCACAATTCAAAAATGTAGTCTTTTAAAATGAAAGAATACAAGGCCCACTTGAACTTACCTCCCAAGTAGCACACAGATTTGTCTGGTGAAATATCCAATTGCCATTCTCATCTTTAGGAATAATTTCATCTCCAGGCTGAGAAAATAAGACAAAAACAAATGTAATTCTTTTTATTTATATCTGGGAATTGAAATGATGGAATTTGAATTGTCTTTAGGCCAATATACCCTAGCTCTGGAAAAGCAATTCAAGTTTAATTATTTATATCCTATATAATAAAAGCCTAACATGCAAATTGTCCCCTTGACCGGGAGTTTGTCCACTCGTTATGACGTGCGCTGACAACCAGGGGGTGGCACAGAAATGGTGGGTGTTGGTGACACAGTGGTAGCAGCTGGCGGCAGTGGAGACACTACGAGCCCTAGTGGGACCTGACGAGAGTGGGACCTCAGTGGGATGGTGGAGCAGGTGAGAGGGTGGTGCCAGCAGCAGTGGCAGGGGGCGGGGCTTCGGCCTGACTCCCAGGCACTGAGGAGCCCGGTGAGGGGAGGGGGGCGGCTATGACTGATTGCTCCTCAGACAGTGACCAGTAGCAGCGGCAGGGGGTGGGGCCACTGCCAGGCTCTCAGGCTCTGAGGGAGCAGGGCAGGGGGCCCGTCCCCAATTAATTGCTTTGCAGTCGGGATGGTAGAGCAGGTGATGGGGCAGCACCAGGACAAAGCGGGTGCCAGGTGGGGCTATGGGAGCTGCAAGGATGCGGGTGCGAACTGGGGCTGTGAGGCTGGGGGCACGAGCTGGGGCCCGATCCCCACAGGCCACACAGAGGGACCCCGCCCGTGCACAAGTTTGGTCACTGGGCCTCTAGTGTTTATATAATTATATAAGAAATTATATTTATATATATTTATTACTTTTATGGGACTGTCCAAAAATTCTTTCATTTTGGCAAAATATGTGACACATTAATCTCATTATCCTATACTGGCATTCATTTTTCCTTTATTTATCAACAGATTATTGTTCTTAAGCCATGAGTTTTCTCCTAATTACAGAATTACTCATCAGAAACAGTAGAGCCCTAACCGGTTTTGCTCAGTGGATAGAGGGTCAGCCTGCGGACTCAAGGGTCCCAGGTTTGATTCCAGTCAAGGGAATGTACCTTGGTTGTGGGCACATACCCACTGGGGAGTGTGCAGGAGGCAGCTGATTGATGTTTCTCTCTCATTGATGTTTCTAGCTCTCTATCTCTCTCCTATCCTCTCTGTAAAAAATCAATAACATATATTACAAAAAATAGTAGAGGTTGAGACTCAGTGTTTGACAGTCTAGCCTTATCAAAATTGAGGAGAGCACGGCATGTTACTTCTCAGTTCTGGCGGACTTGCTCACTGGTTTTTTTTCTTTCATTTTTGGGCCCTCCAGGAGTTCAGCATTTCTTTTTCCTACTTCACACCATAGCTAGTGTCAACTCCCCTTTTCTGGTTTTTGGGTGATCCTTTCCCAACTAAGGCTAACTGGTGTGGAACGTTATCTTTCAGATTTCTCTTTTTTGGCTGTATCTAAACATGGGACTCATTTATTATGGGCTTCAAAATGGAATAGAGAGAAATGAAAGATGATTCCTAGGCTCTTGGGGTGGATGTTGGTAATCATTTCCTGAGTTTGGGTTAGCAATCAAGAGTTCTTTATGAATATTTTGAGTTTGAAATGACCAAATGTTCAAGTGGCTATTTGAGAAGGCAGGTAAACAGAGAAGTCTCAGAAAGATGCCTAGATAGAGGCCATGGCTGTAGACAAAAGTCGGTAGCCCTTACATATAAAATAATAATCCTTGCAACTATATGAAGTCATTTATAGACACAGTGTGGCTCAGTAAGACAAGAATACTGAGAATAGAAGTACTATTCTGGGCATAACAACATTTGGAGGTTGGTAGACAAGCTGCCAAAGAATCAAGAGCGGGTGATATTATAGAAGTCACAAGAAGAAAAAGTGTACAGGAGATAATGGTCAACTGTGTTGAAAGATATCCTATATAATAAAATCCTTATAGGCAAATCAACGGAACAGCTGAAGGACCGGTTGCTATGATGTGCACCTACCAGCAGGGGGTAGACACTCAATGCAGGAGCTGCCCCCTGTGGTCAGTGCGCTCCCACAGGGGAAGCACCACTCAGCCAGAAGTCGGGCTCATGGCTGGTGAGCGCAGCGGTGGTGGTGGCCAGCAGACGGACATCCCCCAAGGTGTCCTGGACTGGGAGAGGGTGCAGGCCACGCTGAAGGACCCCCTAAGTGCATGAATTTTGTGCAGTGGGCCTTTAGTCAAATAATATAAGGATACGTACAGTGTCTATTTGGTATGGTTGGCAGCATTGAAGTCTTTTTAGGATAATAGGAATTTTTATTGAAAATCAAGCAATTGGACAAAATTCATTATATTATATTTTTTTCTTCTGCATCTCACCTGACAAAACTTTCCCCTCGTGGTAACACTTTCTTTAGCAAACACAATTTTGACTCAGTTTCCTCCTGTCTCGCTTATTCCTAAATGCCACATAATCATTCATGTTAATTACCCTTTCTGTCTCTGCTTCCCAAGCTCTTTGTACTTCTCAACACTATGGCCCATATTTCCACTCCAGTCTCTCTCCTTATTTCTTGCCTTTTGCATTTCCCATTTTACTTCTGCTCAGAATGGTTTTATGCCTCTATCATACACTGTGTTAAATATTTTTTACTTACCCTGATTTTTATTAAGTCCTTGTCTTTTCTGAACCCATGTTAGCTATTTCCATGATGTTCCTCTTAAGCGTCCATTGTGCCTACCTTACTCATCCCTCATCAGAATCATTCCATGGTCTTTCTCCCGCTACTCCTGCTCCTACTGTAGGACAGTATTAGAAGAATACTTCAACCCTCTAAAAATCCATGCTATTGATTCTCATTCCTGTTCGTCAGTAACTTCATTTATCTTTTTAAAATGTCATTCCTCATTTAAAAGCATAAGGCATTAGGGGCTGTACAGTGTAGAAGCACAAATATGGGATTGGCATCAGGGGATCCAGGATCTGGTCTCAGTCTGATGGATTTTAAACCTGAGTTAGCTATTTCATTGCCTCGGGCCTCAACCTTTTCTTTTGTAAACTGAAGATATTCTGTATATTGGAATATATATTTCCACCTGAAGATTTTATAACATTTTATTAGCTATGAAATGTCAGGCACTGTGTCTGTAATTTCACATATATAACACTAATGACTCCTCACAATACTTGGCAAATGAGTTGGTATCATCTCCAATTTACCAATCATGAAATTGAAGGAAAGTTCAGGAATATCAAAGACAGTATGCTAATACGCTATAAAGCTGAAAGTCAGTCCCTCTTCTGTGTGACTCCAAAGTTCATACTCTTTCCACTGGACCATGTTTAGGTGATATGTAAAAGGATCAGGTAATAACTTGACCAAGTCATCTGGCTCACATGTGACAGAGCTGGGATTCAAACAAGGTGCCCTGATTCTGTAGCCAATGCTTCATACCACCATGCTTGCTATGTGACCTCTGATTAATGAGTGCAGTGGAAATCGGTTATTTTGCTTTCTACTATCCTTAGCCTTCTTTGATAGAGGAGCTCATTGCACATTGTGTGGGCTGACCCAGCTCCAATTCTTGGCCACAGATGTCAGACACCAATGCCCTTACACAAAGATTAGTCAGCAAAAGTTATGTGACCCAAGCAAGGCTGATCTTTGTTTCTTTAGGAGGTTTAATGTGTAGTCTCTCTTCCTCTGAATTCTTAAGTTGTATTGATAAGGAAGGATTGGAATATCAATGGGCATTTGCCATCATATAGAAAGAGATTTTTGAGAAAGGGCCAGAGTGTAGATACATAGTTTGAACTTCTGGATCCAGTCCTTTGGAATTAGATATGCCTTGGAATTCTTAGTTCCATTTTTTGCTAATGCCAATTTGAGTTGGGTTTCTGCCATTTATAACAAGAGTTATGACCAAAACAAAGGTGTTGGGTATAGCAAGTAATGAACAAAGAGTGTGGAATTGGGTAGGTCAGTATGGGATTGTGGATAGTGAGGATTCTCCAGCTGAGAATTGGATATTCTTGCTATGCAATAGCATGGCATCTTGTTAAATTGTTGCCTTGTTGTGCCTTGAGACTCTGACAATGGGCATACTAAGATTGGAGCTTTAGGAGACTTAGTAAGAAAACATTGGGTGTTAGTTTGTTGGCCATTTTTGCAGTCTTCAGTCAGGTCCTGAAGAAATATAAATGTGTTTATTGCTACTTGGTTTGTAAGGCGAGTGGTAAGATCATATTTTGCTAAAACAGGTACTTTCTGCTTCTAGATGCCTCCCCAAATGGGAGAAATTAAGCTCTGGGCCTTCTAGAGTTAGAAAAGTCTGTGTCAGCCAGGACAGGAAGGTAAGAATCCTAGATGGAAATAAAATTGGACTTTGGGAGAATCCTTGTCCATTTCTCTCTGAAGAAAAGATCTCAGGCCAATGATGCCACACCCAACAAAGGAGCACCATCCAATGAGATGGAGACTGGGTGCAAAGAATGCATGACCTGTGCCTCCCTGTTTTGTATTATTTCAAGTCAGAAGGGGCATTAAGCTAAGGACTTACTAGATGAGGGGGGATAGGATATTTCTTTACTAAGATGCAGAAACCACAGGCTAAAGATTAGATACAAGAAGATTTCTAGTTTTAATTACTCTTTAATGGAGCTGACTGAATGTGAATTTACTGAAAGCCAAGCAAATTTTTAAGGGATATTGACTGTCCACGAAATCCCAAACTGGCCATTGAAAGCCTTTGCTTAATCAAGGCCATTGTGAAGCTTGTAAATTCGTATCAAGGATGCGCAAGAGGAATCTTTCCCAAAGTCTCTCTTGGATGTTACCATAGAGAAGAGTCATCAAGGAAAGAGCTTCCAGAGAACAGAACAAGGGCAGCCAGGTTGCTCATGTGAAGGAAATCTGGGCACCTCAATGACCAGTTTCATTTTCAGTCTCTCCTTTCTCGGAGACATTTGAAAGCAGTAGGGATGTGTTGTTGGTGGTTAAATTAACACAGAGTCCATAGATTGAGAAAGTTTAAGGAAGAAGTGCATTTGAACCAGAGGAATAGCTATCACCCTGATCTTGTTGCTGACCCCCCAAAAACCTGACCATTCTTTGGGTTATTTCCCTTTTTGGGGGTGGAAGGTGAGTAAGTTTTCAGTTGTATATATTATTTTGCATTATGTCATACAGGGATATTTTCATAAGTATATGAGTGGGAAGAAGGGTGTGTCTGGATGCTGGAAAATTAAAATATGGAGCACCGTTAGGTGACTATGTGATGGATTGATGGAGAGAATTTAAACTACAGTTGTAAAGACATGTTGTAATAAAGTGCATTGGATTAGGAATCAAGAACCATGGGATCCTAGCCTGAGTCTGTTACACATAATCTTTCTGGGCATTTGTTGGGTTAGGTCAGTGCTGTCTGACCTGCAGTAACAAAACGATAACATTCTGTGGTGCTAAGTAATGAACTAGCTCTGTGCACATGGCTGCTGGCTCATGGCTGCCAAAGAGCAGAGGCCAAACCTTTAGGTGTCTGCACTCACCTTAAGAGCCATGGGCGTTTCCATGATGTAAAGATCAACATAATCTAGCTGGAGGGCCTGGAGTGTCTTCTGCAGGCATGGGAGGACTCTCTCTGGTTCAAAATCTGTACCCCACAGCTGAAAGAATAAAAAGAGGATAATTAACGACATCCACTCTCTTTCAAAGAAAAGGGTACTGCTCTTTATTCTTTACAATGCATTCATTCATTTTACTGCATAAAAATGTTTATGCTGAAGTTTCATCTGAGTATAGGATAAGCTGATATAACTCTTGACACCCATAGTATAACTTTATCAGACTATAATATCAGAACTGCCTTAGCTGGTTTGGCTCAGTGGATAGAGTGTCAGCCTGAGGACTGAAAGGTCCCGGGTTCGATTCCAGTCAAGGGCACATGCCCGGGTTGCAGGCTCGATCTCCAATGAAGGGCGTGCAGGAGGCAGCTGATCAATGATTCTCTCTCATCATTGATGTTTTATCTCTCCCTCTTCCATCATCTCTGATATTAATTAAAAAATATATTTTAAAAATGAATATAATACCAGAATATGTATCCATATGTTCGTTGCAGCTTTATTTACAATAGCCAAGATATGGGAGTAACCCAAGTGCCCATCAGTAGGTGAGTGGATAAGGAAGTAGTGTATATATGCAGTGGAATATGACTGAGCCATTAAGAAGAATGAAATATTGCCGTCTGCAACAGCATGGGTGGACCTACAGGAAACTGTGCTGAGTGACATAAGACAAAATGAGAAAGGCAAATGTCATATGATTTCACTTATACCTGTAACCTAGAAAACAAAATAAATCAACAGGCAGCAACAGATAAAGACTCACAGATGCAGAGACCATTTGAATGGTTGCCAGATGGGAGGAGAGTTGGGGGGATATGTGAAAAACATGAAGGGATTAAGAAGTACAAATTGGATTTGTAGTAACAGGATAGTCATGGGGATGTAAAGCATAGCATAGGGAATCTATATGAATAAAAGCCTATGTGGTTGTCACACCCTCACGCTGTCACACTGTAACAATTTATCAGCAGGAGACTGCGTGTGCAGCAGATGCGAGTGGATTGGCGGGGACTTGATGCTGTGTGTGCGACAAGGAGGCAGGTCCCGTGGCTCTATGCGGCGATGCCAGGGGCAGGACACCTGGCTCTGGCCTACCTCTTTTGGGCAATCCATTGAGGAGCTGTGGATGGTTGGGTGGGGCCTATCTTCTTTGGGGAGATCGATTGTGGGGCTAATGCACTGTGTGAGGGCACAGGCCAGGCTGGGGCCCCCCTTCCCCTGAGTGCATGAATTTCATGCACCGGGCCTCTAGTATAGTCAATAATATTGTAATAACTATGTGTGGTCTCAGATGGGTACTAGATTTATCAGGGTGAGCACTTTGTAAGTTATATAAATGTCTAATCACTGGGTTGTACACCAGAAGCTAATATAATATTGTACATTAGCTGTAATTGAAAGATAAAAAATTATTTTTAAAATAAGAATAATGGACCTAAAGATTCAGAGACTTTAAGATTCACCTGAACCACAGAGGACCTAATTTGGAGACAAGCCTTCCTCTGTGCAGTGCTAATTTCCTATTTGACTCTCAGTAATTATACTTTTCCTCACTGTGTAACTAGGGAGCATGTACCTGAATAGTTGTGCTGACCTGGCCCCTTTATTTTCATGTTACTCTGATAAAGGATGTGCTTCATTTGAGCAAGAAATATGATTGTGTGGACATCTTCACTGGATCCTTCACATTGTCACGGGCAATGCAGAAGCTGGTGAAGTTTTAAATTAATGCAAAGATTTAGATTTCCTCTTACTGGTCTTTTGTTCTCATTTGGTTGTACTCAGACTCCAGGGAAATTTTGTCAATTCCTACTAAGAAGTTACTGGATGTCTATTTGAAACGATAATGTCACCAAAACGGCAGGGTATGAGACTTATCCCACAACAAGGCCAACAATTAGACAGCTAACCCTGAGTGAAAATGGGGAGATGTTGGTCAAAGGGTATAAACTTCTAGTTATGAGATGAGTAAGTTCTGGGGAGCTAATGTACAGCATGGTATTTGAGGTTAATGATACTGTATTGCATACTTTAAAGTTGCTAAGAGAATAGGTCTTAAATGTTTCTCACCATAAAAAAAGGAATGGTAATGATGTGAAGAGATGGAGGTGTTAGCTAACATTATGGTGGTAATCATTTTGCAATCCATAAGTGTTTCAAATGAACATGTTATACACAAATTCACATAATGTTATATGTCAATTATATCTGTACTAGAAGCCCAGTGCACAAAATTCACGCACGGGTAGGATCCTTAGGCTTGGCCAATGATCAGGGCCAATCAGGACCTCCTGGCTGCCAGCTGCTGGCCAGGGCCTCCCTTCCCTGGCTGCCAGCTGCCTGCCAGGGCCTCCCTTCTCCAGCTGCCAGCTGCTGGCCAGGTCCTTCCTTTATTTTGCACAATGCCCTGGTGGTCAACAAATGTCATAGTGAGGGATTGAACTCCCAGTCTCCCGGTTGAACTCCTGACGTGACAATTTCCACATTAGGTTTTTATATATATACTTGAGGCCCGGTGCACAAAAATTTGAGATTTATGTGCTGGGTCCCTCAGCCCAGCCTGCGCCCATTCACAGTCCAGGACCCCTTGGGGATGTCCACCTGTCGAATTAGGCCCACTCCCTAGGGGATCAGGCCTAAGCTTGCAGTCAGACATCCTTCTAGCAGCCAGGGAGCCCTTGGGGATGTCCGACTAAAGGCTTAGGTCCCCAAGGGATCAGGTATAAACTGTTACTAGGACATTCTTAGTGCTGCCACGGAGGTTGGAGAGGCTCCTGGCACCACCACTGCGCTGGCCAGCCATGAGCCAGCTTCTGGCTGAGTGGCACTCCCCATATGGTACTGCACTGACCACCAGGGGGCAGCTCCTGCATTGAGCATCTGCCCCCTGGTGGCGAGTGCACATCATAGCAAGCGTTCATTCTGCCGTTCAGTCAATGTGCATATTAGCCTTTATTATTATTATATAGGATGTCCCTATTTCCCCCCTTTTGCCCCCTGTACCCAGTCCTTGCCCCCCACTTCTCTCTGGCCATCACCATAATGTTGTCTGTGTCCATGGGTTGTGCATATATATTCTTTGGCTAATCCCTTCTTTAAATTCACTTCTTTAAATTTGTATTTTCAGATAAGTGCTTATAACTGCACTATTATATATTTTCTATTATATCATTTAGAATTAAGATATCTTTTAATTGAACCCTTGTAAATTTTAGCACAATTTAATAAATTATGCTAGAAGCAATTAGGAGATTTTTCATGTAATGCAGATACATTTCAATTAATATTATATTAATTTTTAAATTTTTTAATATTTTAATTTGAAATAATCTCATACATCTAAAAAACTATAAAATATTACAGCATATTATATGTACCCTTCACCCAATTTCTTAGGTGTTAATAATTTAAACAAAACCATTATACAACTAACAGAATTTGGTATATATTTTTCTTATAATCTCTTTAATGTTACTTAATCCATTTACTTTGTTTTTGTTAATCTTCATCCAAGGGTATTTTTCCATTGAATTTTAGAGAGAGTGAAGGGAAAGGGAGAGACACATTGATTGGTTGCCTCCTGCACATGCTTTGATAAGGACTAGGGATCAAGCCAGCAACTGAGGTACATGCCCTTGACTGGAATCGAACCTGGGACCCTTCAGTCCACGGGCTAATGCTCTATCCACTGAGAAAAACAGGCTGCAGCTTAATTCATTTACTTTTAATCTATATGTGTCTTTATATTTAAAGTGGGTTTTGTTTTTGATTCACCCTCATAATCTGTCCATTAATTGGTGCATTTATGCCACTGACTTTCAGAGTGCTTACTGATAGAGTTACTACCATATCAGGCGGCTTCTGGGTCTTCTGGGTCCCGCCCTGCCTTGCCTTTTCTTCTTCTTTTTTTCTAAGACATTTCAATTTATTTAAAAGAGGCCAATATACAGGATATAAAGGGTATGATATTTACAACAGTACAGTAAGAGGTTGGTTTCCCGGTAGGATCAGTAGTATTTCAGTGAGTATTAAACCCCTTTCCCCTTGATGCTCGACCCAGCTGGCAGACAAACAGCAACAGTGGGGTGGGATGGGACTGCAGGATAGAAAGTCTCCCTGAAGGGATTAAAAATCACGTAGATGCCCTAGCTGGTTTGGCTCAGCGGATAGAGCGTCGGCCTGCAGACTCAAGGGTCCCAGGTTCGATTCCGGTCAAGGGCATGTACCTGGGTTGCGGGCACATCCCCAGTAGGGGGCGTGCAAGAGGCAGCTGAATCGATGTTTCTCTCTCATCGATGTTTCTAACTCGCTATCCCTCTCCCTCTCCCTTCCTCTCTGTAAAAAATCAATAAAATATATTTAAAAAAAAAATCACGTAGATGCTAAAATGTCCACAAGGGGTCTTGGGGGTGAGGGGTGCCTCTGCCTCATTCCTTTGAGGGCTTGGCAGCAGGAATGCTGAGGGATTTGCCCCAAACTAACACACGGCCCACCTTGAGCCTGTAAATCTTCCACCCATGGAATATTCCCTTCCTGAGAGAATCAGCCCTAATCCCTCAGCCAGGGCCTGGAGGAGCCGCCCAGGCCGTGAGCACAGCCAGGACTGTGGACATTTCATGGCATTTCCACTCCCACTCCAGCTGCCTAACAACTCTGCACTGCTCCCCTCCCCCACCTCCCCCGTCACTCCATCGGGACACTGTGCACAGGAGGGTACACTGGTTTTCCCTTGCACATTGGGAACTGGCTGTTTCTGTTTTCTGGAGTAAAAAGGTTCCTGTGGGTCGGGTAAGGTCTCTGCTTGGCAAGAAGTTCTGTAACACAGCCACTGACCACACCCACCTCCTCTGGGCATGGAGCAGCTCCGGTCCTCAGAGCTCATCTCTCCAGCAGAACTGAAGGGAAGACCTTGTGTACCCTTCTGTCCCTCACCCTTCACATGCCCAGAACCATCAGTGTCACACTTCCTAATTCCTATCACTGTATTTCATTAGTTCCATACTGTTTTACTAATCATGAATCTAAACAGATTGGTTCAA